ATCAGCTGTCAAAACAATTTCTTAAGCAAAAGAGCTGACGCATGGCCACCCAGCTGACAAAAAAAATGCTGATGGCCCAAACTCACAACTCCGGGACTCCTCACTGGATCCGAGTGCTCAGTTCACACTGCCCCTCAAGATGGCACAGCCCCCAGATCTCCTCGGGCACCAGGGGCTCGAACCCAAAGGTGGGGGTGAAAACACACGATGGAAACAGGAGCAGACCTTGACTTCATTTCACACACAGTACTGCTCCCTGTCTTTCTCAACCTGAGCTAGATAACGAAGCAGTTCGTGATTTATTTTCCAGGTTGTAAAATAATAATTTGCTTAGTTTGTAGATGGCTGGGAGAAATACTCTCATCTTTCTGCGGATTCTACCATCTGCTGGAAAAATAAGAAGCGCTCAGCCTACTCCCTTGGAGCTGAATGCATTTTGTCCGAGGAGGACCAGGCTCCAGGCGTGTGGTGCATCTCGTTCCTGGCTGAGGGACACCCTCTCGGCCTCGGATACGAAGCTTTATCTTGGCAAGGAGAACAAGATCATGATTTCATGGAAGTATGAACATAGTATCTCCTTTGCCTCCCTCACGAAGCAGCCTGTCTTGGCCTGCATACATCCCACTTTTTGCTAAGACGGGCACAAAGAGACAAGAATGTAAGAGCCCCCATCTCTTCAGACCCTGGACCGCAGGTTGAGTACTTCCCAGCTACTCTGAAGAATTACACACTTTCAAGGGCCAGAACCCCCCCAAAGGACAGCTTCTTGCACCATCGCATCTGGCCAGCCTGTTTCTTCACTGGCCGTCCTTGAGCTCTTTGCCAGGCTGGTACACAGCGGTCATGGTTAATGTCACCCCAGACCCAGGGAGAGAGCCTCTTTGGTAAGTCAGCAGAGACTGAACACCACTGGAAACCTCTCCCAGAGTGAGTCACCACCTCAGAACTTCAGAGAATTATCCTCTAAGGAAGGTGACAGCACTGGAGGGCTGGAGGGGACGAGAGAGCAAGGCAGCCTGCTCCACAGAGTCCTTCTCTGTGACCTCTGTAGGCCACTATCTACTTCTGTCGAAAACGTCGAAGGATCAAAGTCTAGAAGGGATCATTGGTTCAGTCCTTGCCCTACACACTGCTACCTCCCGTGAAGCCGGGGCCTGGCCTTGTACAATATCCCGCGTGGCAAGACAAAAGCCACGCACGACGGGATTCCTCCAACACCAGAGGCTGGGAGTCAGCCGGGGCCCCGGGATGTCACTGATCGTGTCTCTGCATAGTAGGTGGGTTAGTGAGCAGGGGCCTGCTGCTCCACCGCCTGACTCCCGCGCCTGGTGAGTCTCCCACCAGTCAGGTGGAAGAACTTGAGCAACTCACCCAACCTCTCTGAGCTTCAGTTTCCACATCTGTAAAACCAGAGTGTTCCTGCCTCACAGGAGTGATATGACCATGATGAGCTGATCCACGCAAAGACCTGGAGCAGAGCCCGCACACAGAAGGATATCCTCGGTGTGGCCGTAGCACACTCGCCCTGCGCCACAGAAGTTTGCTTCTGTGTGTTCCTTAACCAGCTGTGCCTGCTAAAGCTCACGCTGACTTTCTACAGAACGTCTTTTTCTACAGTGGTCCTAATCAATCACTACCTACTGCCTTGATCCATTAACAAGTATCTACTGAGCACCTACCATGTGTCTGAACCCCTAGTGGGAGGGGGGCAGTTTCAGAAACATCATTAGACGGTAGCCCACTAAACACTGAAAATGAATTCCATAGCCCAATGTGATCAAAGGCACCCTATTTCTTTCCTGTTACCATCCTATTTTCCCCAAAGCGGAGAAACTCATGATGATATCTTTCAGTAGTGGTTCAAAGAGGACTTTCTGGGAAAGGGTTTAAAGCTTTCTGGGCTTAAACATTCCCACCACGCCCATTAATTCCACCCCAGCACTGCTTGGGCGAGGTGGTACCAGATGCCTGTTGCCCCAGTGTGAGCCTGTTCGATCGCACCTATCCACCCTCCAGAAGGACACTCTTGACTTTCAGACATGGAGGGGTGTTCTGTCCAGTGGTAGCAGGGAATGGGGGACCCCTGTTTCAAGCTGGAGCAGCAAGGCTGCTTAGGAAAAGGAGAGCAGGGCCCAGTTTAGCATGCACGCTCCCCGGACCCTGACCTATAAGGGCGCCTGTCTGTAGGCAGGCGGCCCTGGGAGAGAGCACTGGCAGTGCCCGGCTGGGGCTGCCTGTCACCTTGGTGGACTCATGCACAGATGTTCCTGTTTCAATCACAGAGGGTCAACCCCCACCCCACCCCAACTTCTGGACACTGGTTCTTCAAGGTGCCACATTCCCTACTCCAAGTCTCTCGCACCAGACTCCCAGAGGCATCTCCAGGTTGGCAGGAAGTTCACTCACCTCCTGCCTGTGCTCCTTTGGCCCAAAAGAAATGAGAAGCTGACTGACAAGGGAAGAATCTGAAATGCATTAAGTACCTGTGTTCCTGTCCCCTCAACATCCATTATCTTCACTTAATCCTCAGAAAAGCATAGGAGGTAGCTGTGATCATCCCCACTTTGTGGGCATTTTTACAAACTTGAAGCTAACACAGGTGGTCTCATGATCACCTTCTGGCAAGTGCCAAGCTGGCCATCAGACCCAGTCTGCCGTGTCCCATTCTCCATGCAGAGTTGTATTCTTCTCCTCTCTTCTCTGCTCTTCCTTTCACATCATCATGCACATCACTAACGTCTTTGCATACGGAAGGCACTTAATAAAAGCTGGCTGCTCTCAGGGGAGTGGGTTATCCCGTGCTCTTTAGGCCTTGCTCCACATATGAGCAGTAGCTGTCTCAAATCCGGGTGTGGGAAAGCAGCCCTCAGCTCATTACTCCCAGGCTCAGTAACCCAGACCTCACTGGCCCCCCTGAGAGTCTCCTATGAAGGAAAAAGAAATGAATGCAAGAAGATGGGATCTCACGACCTGGTAATATGCTGGTGATCCAGGGCCAGCAGCACCTGCCTTTCCCAGGAGCTTGTTAGAAATGCAGGTTCTCCAGCATGCCCCAGACCTATGGCCAGAATCTGCATCCTAGTACAATCCCCAGGTACTTGGTGTGCATTCAAGTTTTGATGAGCTCCCCTGACCTACAACTTGGGTTAGGGGCTGTGTTGCCACCGTTTCTCTTAAAGGGGATGCTATTATGGGCTCTGGCTGTGTCTCAACTAAGTGGAGTCAGGCTGACACAGAGCTGGAGACTTGTGCAACAAAACCCTGGGCCACCACTGGGATGCAATATGTGAGGATTCCCTGCAGCAGGCAGGATTCACTGCCTTTCGGAATCTTCCCATCCCCACACTTGGTCACCACAGGTGACTCTGAAGGAAAAAAAGAATCCATCCCCCCTGACAGTGCTACAAGGCATTGGCCAATAGTATATGTCACTGTTTCCTATGAAACTGGGGCTCTCATTCCTGCCCTGGTGTGTCACCTCTCTCAGCTACTGAAGACTTCACCTAGCAGCTCCCAGCTTTTCTCAGTCCTTGCCTGGGGGATAAGGACGCGGCGGGACCCTGTAAGTAGCACCAGTTGACCCACAACCACTGTGGGAGGGACCCGGAGATGGAGAGGGTCTCAAAGACATCAGAGCCAGGGGCAGAGCACAGGAAAGCACTAGGGAGTCTATTCTTTCTCTCAGTGACACCGTCTAGGAGCTCTCCACAGGCCTCACTCTCCGCCCAGGGATAAACAGACAGCAGGAGTTGGGGCCCGCCACAGAGCTTGGAGGCTCACCCGCACCCAGACCCCTCCCCCGCATCAGTCTCCTGCAGAGCCCACCAGAGCCCAGGACGCAGTCTGAGAGGCAGGGACTCTCTACAGCCTGGCAGCGCCTCTCTTGCAGTGGGGAAGACATGGGATCTCAGATGACCTTACCCGGACTCCTGAGGAGCACCTCCCCTACCCCTCGCCCACGCAGGATTTTGGGGTCAAGGTTAACCCCTCCCCATTATTTCTACCCAGACCCAGGAAACCTTTCCTGGAGCTACAGACCACCACCTCTCCCCTCCCCAACACACACAAACTGTTTTTTCTCCTTGGGCTAGGCAGTCCCAAAAACACAGGAACAGAACAGGTACACAGGGCGCAGAGCATGCGGGAAACTCACCCCAGCATCACCCAAAGGCCCCCAACCCTGACCCCCTCGCCCCCGTGCCATGCCCCAGATGGGCACCCGGACTTCTGCAGAGGGGCCGTGCACTAGTCTTCGGCACTCAAGGGTCAGTGAATCGGAAGCCAGCCCACGGGCTACCAGGCCAGGGGGCCAAAAGACTGGGCAGTCCCGCCCCATCCAGTCCCTGCTTAATCCTTGGTCCAAAATAGCTCCGGGTAATCCCTGGATTGGGCAGGAGGGGTATTAACCAGGAACGGGGAAGGAAGGCGTGGAACTATCCAGAGAGAGGAGGTCTCGGTGCGTCCCGGGGTTGGAGGCAGCTCGGAGTCCCTTGGAGTTGGAAGAGGGGAGGAGGGGGTGGGTTTCTGAAGCCCAAAAAGTAACCCAGGCCAGCTCGAGAGCGGTTTCCGTGCCCACCGCGCCACTCCCCACTGAGTCCCGGGTCTCCGGGTCAGGAGTTCTGGCCCCGACACCCAGAGCCCCAGCTCTGCGCCCTAAACAGCACCCCCCCGCCCCGGCTCCATGGCGAGGCCGACCCTGTATCCGAGCTCCCTGGATAACTGAGACCGAGTACGGAGCCGTCTGTCAGCGGAGAGCCGGGCCAGTAGGAGCGCTGGGAAGCGCCCTAGAGTCCCCTTCCGAGGGAGTCCAGTCCCTGCCTGAGACAGACCCCCAGGTCCGGGCCGCGATCCTGCGAGAGGGTCCTTGTTGTGCCTCAGGGTCTCCTGGCGGGCGGGGCGCTCCCCGAAAGGCACCCTCCCTACCCTGCTCTCAGAGGAAAGGGGCCCTTCAAGAAGTTCGCGCGCCCCAGACACGCCCGCCGCCCCCGGTCTCCGCTTACTTGTCACGGAGTCCGCTGACCTCCGGGCTGGCGCCGAGAGGCTGAGGACCCGGGCCCGGGTCAGGAAGCAGGGCGCACGCGGCCAGGTGCCGACGGTGCCGCTCCAGCAGGCCGGCGTTCTCGCGGCTCAGCCGCGCCACTTGGAGCTCCAGCTCCTGGATGCGCCGCCCCCGGCGCGCCAGCAGCTCTTGCTGCGCCGCGACGATCCGAGTCAGCTCCCGCAGGTACTCGGCCGCCTTGCCTGGGGGTTCGGCGGCGCTGGCCATGGTCCCCGCCCGGTGGCCGGCCGCGCCTCAGGCCAGCGGGAGGCGGGGCGGCGTCGGAGGCGGCAGTGGGGCGGCCATGGCTGCGCCGCGGGTACAGTCCCTCCGCGCAGCACGGAGCTCAGCACCGGGCTGGCACGGCTCCGCCTCGGCTCCCACCTCCGGCGGCGCCCACCCCGGCGTCCCCGCACCTCCAGCACCGCGCGTTGCGGTGCTCTGCTGCCCAACTGACGCGCTGGGGCTGGGAGAGCGCGGAGCTGTGGCCACCGGGGGCAGGCAAGGAGTTTGCAAAGTGCCGGCTGCGAGGCAGAGCGGGAGTCGGAGCGGCCGGCGCGGGAGGAGGTGGGAGGGAGGAAGGGAGGGAGCGTCAGAGGGAGGGCGCCGCCTGCCGGCCCTGCATCCCCCGACCTGATCTCGGCTCGCCAGGGAGCTATTCCCATCACCACCACTCCTAGCCACTCTGATATATAAATTTAATTTTAAAAAATTCGGCAAAAATATATCTTCATAATAATATCAGCCTTGGTGTAAATAGAAAAATGACTAATAAATTCGTGAGGACTTGGATATTTTCAATTGATCTAAATCTACCCAAATGAACGTTAGTTTTGTAGATGCATAGACAGGACAAGTGTATTCTAGACTGGCCTTTATACATTCTAAGCAGATGGTAGCTCTAAAGCCTCCAAGATGTCCAGGTGAACCAGCTGCTAAGGCCCCTGCATCGACCTTCCCTGGATTCTGGGAACCGATCAGCTTGTAGAACAAGGACCACCACTCTGCCGTCCCCCTACCCGTTCCCCGCCCCCACCTCCACACCGCTATTGCGGCCTTTGGCAGTGTATTTTGTCTCTGAGCTTCAGTTTCCTCAGCAATATGTTTTCTATTTCTTAACTTTAAAAAAATCTTTATAATTTCCATACTCCAAATGTCTTTGGTACTAAACTTTCTTTTTCTACCTTCTTGGCTTGCAAAGTTAGTTAGGTATTTTCATTGTTTCTTGTTTCATAGCAAATTCATTTTAAGGCTATAAATTTACCTCTGGGTGAAGCTCTAGGTACACCTCACAAGTTTCCAAAGCTTCGTAATGTCCATTTTGATGACGGTTTCCCTTTGTTAAGGCTGGCATTACACTGACTTGGATGATACATGGTATACCATACCCATATTTGTTGATCTCCCTGCCCCACCCCTACGAGGAGACATGAGCCCTGCATGCTGAGACCTCAGACCTGACAAGGACCCTAAACCCTTATTGATTGTCTCCTGGGCAGGACTTATGGGGAGGGAGAAAATGGTAGTGGGACCATTTAGTGGAATCCTCAAATTCACTAAGAATTCTTTCATCAGAACGAGATTAAACCAACACCATGCTAAGCAAAAACTCTTAACTCTAAACTTCTCCCTCATCACTAGGCTACTAATAGTGCTCTAGAAATTAATATTATTTTAATAAATTCTGTAATTATCTTGTGAGGGCAAAATTACTTTACATCTTATTTGTGTGTATATGTGTAAAGGTGTTTATCAGTTCAGTTTATAAATTTAAAGTATACCAACATCTTTGCAACCCTATACTAATATTTCCTCATTATACGAATATACCAGGAGCCTCCCCAAAAGGGATGTGGTACAAGCTTCTTTCAATTTAGGGGGGACACCTGAACCTGGAGTCACAAGTGGGCTCTCTGCCAATGTTTGGGAGTGAAGGAAATTCAATTCTTAATTCTGGCCCATGTCAGTGCGGATGGCGGGGAGAGGAGCTGACTGAATGCGGAGAAGGAACAGCTGTGCCTCCCCTCCTGAGGGGTTTGCCTATCCCCCACCTCCATCACAACCGCCCCTCAGCAGTTCCAGGTTGAAGCTGACCTCACATTTCCATCTCCTTTCTCTCTGAGACTTGCCACATCTCCAAGCAGCAGGCAAAAGCTCAGTTGATGCCAGGTCTATGTGGGTACAGGAGACCTGGATGGGGAGGCTTTATCCCTGTGTCCCAAGAGCAGCCACAACCAGACAGGGCAGAAGGTGGCAATGGGCAGACAGGTGCTGTGGCAGCCTCAGGGGGACTATACCTACACCCTAGGACTGAGCAGCACCCTTTATGATCCATTTCTCTGCTCCTTCCAGCTCCTATCATCTTAGGCAATGGGAGAGGTGAGGGGAATGAGCCTCCACCGGCTTGCATCTGCCTCCCGTCTTATTTATTTTCCTTGACCTCCATTCCTGGCACTCTGGGGTGTCCCAGTTGCAGCCAAATTCCCACAGCTGGAGGTTATAAGAGAGTCTGCCACCAGCAATGAAATCATATACACCAGCCTTCCTGGCTCACACATTGAGGCATACCCCAAAACAAAAGTTGATGCCTTCCCCAGAGAATGGAAGTCTCCTCCACAAAGAGCATGAGCCAGTCACTCACTGAGCACATGTGACTGAGCATCAACAGAGCCAGGCCCTGAGGACACTGAGCATGGCGGAAGAGGCTCCTGTTCTCTTGGGGTCCTTCTGAGGAGACATACTCTGAAGGACTGCTCAGAGGCCCCGCTCTTTTGTTAATGCTCTCCTGTCACCATCTTGATTATTTTAATTTGTGGACAAGAGGCCCCCACTTTCGTTTTACACTGTGCCCCCCAAATCATGACGCTAGTCCCAGAAAGTGTGCTAGTAAACACTAAAAAAAACACAACACCACACATAGCATTTGTCCATTTCCTAGGTGTAAATATTGAATACCATATTTTTCAGACAATAAGATGCACCTAGGTTTTAAAGGAGGAAAATAGGAAAAAAAAATTGAAGCAAAAAATGTTGTAAAATATTTAGCAACATAAATAACATAATATTTCACCAATGTAAATGTAAACAGAACTCAGCAGCAGCATTAACAACCAGTATTCCTCCCAAATTTGGGGAGAAATAAATTTTTAAAATTAAAAAGTGAGTCTTATATTCTGAAAAATATGGTACATACCCCCTGGCTGACATAGTGAGACCTCAGTGACTGTGGAGCTGGGCCTAGGTGCATGTGGTGGTGCAGACAAGGATAAGGTGTGGCAGTGGCACATAACAGGTGCTTGGCCTGTCTGAGATTCAGTGCAAACCAAACAGGAATAACAATGGCATCTGCAGCAGAGTTTCACTTTTGGGTCAAAGAAGTTGAGAGCTGGGATCAAAGCTTCCCATAGGCTAGAGAGTGCTTTCTACACCAACGCCCCCATGTGGGGGGGGAGGAGCACTGAAATGCCTACATAGCTCTGCCTCACAGGCCAGACTTTGGAAGATGGTCCAGTACACCCTGCCTTTCACCAAACTCTGTTGCCACAGACTCGAGTCTCCCTGGCTTTGACCCCCCACTCTTGGCCTTCAGATGTGATAACTGATCTCTCTTCTGGACAACTGAAATCTTAGCCACCCAGATATCTCTTATGGTCTCCCGTGACATAAGAACACTAGTAGTCTGAGTGGCACAGGTGGACAGGTAGGGATAAAACAGGATGCTTTAATGTGACTGACAAAACAAAGCAGTCAAAACAAAATCAGGTGGTCCAGTGGAGGCACAGTCCCTCGTCTAAATTCCACAGTGTATGATGAAGGAATTAGAACTCTGTAGCAGATTCTGTGGTGGCTGACCAGACTCCCGCTTCAGGATGAGGCTCTCACCCTCCATGGATCGGGGACATTAGCATCTGACAGCTCACAACCAAAACCAAGTCCTCCTCGGGAAATTGCCCTGTGCTGATGGCATCTCTCCCACCAAATGTTATGCCAGCACCTTCCTAGGGAAGCCCTCATCTGTGACTGATCCATGCAGGATCTTGTACAAGAGCTGGTCCCCCTCACCTAAGCTTGGACAGCTCTGCAGCACCATCCCAGCTCTAGAGGTCTTCAGAGGAGCCCCTGAGGCTTCTGTTGGGACTGCACCACAGCCCAACCTTTCCCTCTGTTCAGTCCTGCTTCTTCCCTCCTCCACTGGTGCTGGCCCCAAGAGCACTCTCCAGTAACACTTCTGCGTGCAAGTGCAAACCTCTGTCTCAGGAACGTTTCCCTGGAAACAGCCCCACACCCTCTTCCCCTGACCCTGTCTTCACACCAAGGCTTTCACCTCGTTAGGATCTATGGGCTTACAGGCTGTTATGTAACTAGTTGGTCTCCCTGATTGGTATGTAGATAAATTCTTGGCCCTGAAAAACCAATAATTAGCTTTTCCAATATTATAATTACATAAATACAAGGCCAAGCAGTTTAAATTAAACTGCAGAGTAAAAAGATATAACTATGCGCTCAAAAGAAAATAAAAGATGATAACAAAAATTTGGAGAAGAAAGGAGAAGAAGCATATTATAATCACTTATTAATATTTACTACTATTATCCACATTCAGCTTCTCAATAAAATCATCTATCTTTATAGTATCATTTTTTGTACAATATTCAATTTTCTTCTTAAAAACCTTCCTCTGAGAACTCTTTGACTCATTGTTGTGGTTTGGGCTGGCTGCTTCCTTGGCCAGCTACACCACTATCATTGGAGATTTCTTGGCATTACACTTCAAATTTGGATCCACAATTTCTCAGGTTCTATGAATCTCATTCCTTGGATTCATTTTGTATTTTGCCATGTACACCCTCCAGCAGTTCTACCCAGAGACAGCCTGCAGAAAGGTCCTTGAGTCCTGTGTATCTGAAAGAATGCATTGCTCCCTCACACCTGATGGACAGTTTAGCTGGACATAAAATCCTAGATTAAAAACTAACTTCCTCAGGACCTGGCAGGGTTTGCTCCATTTTCCTCTGTCACCCAGTGGTGCTGATGAGAATCTGATTCTCATGCCTTTGAAGAGGAGATTCTTTTCAGTCAGGTCGTAAAGGTACTTCCCCAGATCAGGACATTTAGAGAAATGGTGAGAGGCATTTTTGATCCTCACAATGACTGGGCACCCTCTGGTATTCAATGGGCAGAAGTCTGGAATAAAATGTGCAGGAAAGTTCCGCCCAATCAAAACTGTCCTACTTAAATTGCCAAAAAGAATAATGAAGTTGGAGGACTCACACTACCTGATTTCAAGACTTAATATAACCTAAGAGTAATCAAAACAAGTGGTACTGTGTAAAGATAGACATAAAGATCAATAGAATAGAAGAGACTCCAGAAACAGACTCACATACATATTGTCAATTGATTTTCAGTAAAGATCCCAAGGCAATTTAATGAGGGGAAGTGCTAGATAGTCTTCTAACAAGTGTTCCTGGAACAATAGGAGAGCCACATCCAAAAGAATGAACTTCATAGCATCTACAAACATA